TGTAACTGCTGTAGGATTTAATTATCCATCAAAATTAAGTTAATTCTTTAATAAAGCTTGCATCTAATACCAGTTGCGGTTAAAATTAAAAAAAAATAAAAAAAAAAATTTTTAATATCAAATTATAAATAAATAAAAATTTATATTATATTTTAAATTTTTTTATTTTTTTTCATATCTTATTCTATATTTTAATTTTTAATATCAATTATTAAAATTCTTAATAATAATAAACACTAAAAATTATTTTAATAAATTATTATTTGAAAATAAGTTTTATATTTATCATATAAACACCCGACCAGCTTGAGCACATTATTACCGGATCCTTAAGTACTGTAATTAGAGCTTTTATTAAACTAAAATAAAGTAAAGGGGCAAAAATATACAGCTAATTTTAACAAAACTATTTGACGACGCTTATTTTAGAGTTCATTCAATTTAAAGAAACAGAATATTAAAAATACCTTATCTAAAATTTACCACCAGTTACCACTTTAGCAGCAATTGCTGCTAGTATTGCAGCTTTGTGATTAGTTGAAAGTTTCGAATATGCTTCGTAGACGGATACTCCTAATAGAAAACCAATCAGATGAAGCCTATCACCAAAGCAGAACAAATTGCCACGCATACCTTTTGCATCTCTAACAGCTCCTAACTTGTTTCCAGCATAAGCCCCCAACATTAGTCCAGGTACGTTACCGCAAATAAATCCCAAAACCCCTCCAGCGATTGTTCCAATTGGAGCATAAAACCAATGTGGATTTTCAATTTCGGGTCTTAACAGCTCCTCAAACACATTACCAAACATTTGATTTGGATCCGTTTGGTTTATTGACCATGATGCGGCTCTCTGCTTTTTCTTGGCTCTTACAGCATCTGAGAATGAATAAAATTTTTTTATCAATTTAAAGATTCTAATTAATTAATTTATTTTAAAAAAAATCTACCATATTGGGCCCTTCGCGTTGGGTCGCTAAGCACATAATATGCGTCTGCTACCCTTTGAAACTGAATCTTCGCATCTTCTTGTGTAAGTGTTGGATTTATTGCCGAATCTTGTGTACCTGGTGCATATCTGTCCGGGTGTGTTTCTAGCGCCTTCTTTTTGTATGCTTCGCGTATTTCACTGTGAAAGTTATTAAAAATGGTTAACTTAAATTTGTCCTCCAAATAAAAACTCAACGGTGAAAATGTAACTTACTTTTCAGTGGCAGTCTCAGCGACGTCAAGAATTTTATAATAATCGGGAAATTCCATTTTTGCGAATCGAGTTATTAAATGATATACCGATTTTTTTTATATTCAAAATTTTTATATTACTATTGATCTTTTTGAAATACTGACTATTATTCAAAACTCTTAATATTTATTTTTTAAAGAAATTGGTTTATTTATTTTTTTTATTATATACAGTTTGGGACAAAACTTTTTGCCCTCATTTTTTCTTAAAATTTTTTAAAAATTAATTATTAGATTATAATTTAAAAGAAAATTTTTTTTTATAATAAAATATTATTTTAAGTATTAAATTTATTTTTTTATTTTATTTTATTTTTTTAACCTGCAACCATGTCACATGGCTTGATCTTTATTGAGAAGTAACTATTACAATATTATGGATTTTTCACATAATGATTAACTTATCATTGCACTAAAGTACTCTAGGTCAGATCTAGGAAATAATATTTCACTTTTTTAGAGGATTGGTAAATAATCTCTATTTACTAGGTTCATTTATCAGGAATTTTTTTTGATGGAAAACTCTAGAGATCTTCACCTGTTAAAAATTTTCCAGAAATTTTCGAAAAAAACTTTGAAAATCTTTTAAAATTTTCGAAAATTTGTAAAACAAAAATAATTTCATTAATTTTAATAATAAAAAACTTTAAATATTTTTTATTTT